AGGCCAACTCAAGGAGGAAGGTAACTAGAGGGGCCTCTAAGATTGTTGTAGTCTTGATCTAGGAAGTGTATGCCATAATTTGGCCGCATAACATTACATTAATCCAAGATGAAATATAAGGGTGCACTAGTACAAAAACAGCGTATAACGTCACGCGTTTAACGTCCAATCACTGAATAACCAACGTTAAAAATGACCAGTGGCATTTATGTAAATAAATTCAATTATTAAATATCTTTTAGAATTGTAATTCAACGTAAAATGATATAAAACGTCGAATGCCCCAGCGTTAGACATCAAAAGGTTAGTGAATTCAATAAAAGTTTGAGCGGGAGATTGAAAATTCATTCACTTTATCTTAGCGCGTGAGACCATTTTCTCTTCTCAAACTTTTCTCGAACGAAGTTTGACAACCATCACATGTAATCTTTCTTTCATTTGATACAAATGCATTTTATGTATGATTTTCGTTTGTTTTGACCGATTATTTTCGTGCTTTTGTCCTTCATAGGTGCATTTTGCTTTCTCTGTCACCAGTGACAACATTTTATTCCAACGAACCCACCTTTTGAAGTTTAGTTTTCGTTTTCGAAGAATTTATTTGTTGAACTTATTTGTTATTATTTGATTGAACTTGTTTGTTATTGTTGTTGTTTGATTGAACTTGTTTGTTGTTGGTTATTGTTGTTTGTTTTTGATACTACGTTCATAGTTCTTGCTTTATAAAATACCAAAAACTGAAATTTGTTGTTTTTCTACTTTTCAGGTCTCACAAAGTTGTAAAAATGTATCACAATTAATTCAAAAAAACAAAAAAAAAGGTGATTAATGTCGTATATTAACAAAATTCGACGTTCGTATATAGACAAAATTTAATGTCTCTTAATATGACGTCGTTCGCGAATTCGCCGTTAAAAGCCCAAAATATTCGACGTTACGCGATTTTTTTACTAGTGGTAGAGAAACCTTTATTTATAGGCCAAAGTTGTCTTCTTCTAACCCTAAAAACATGATCACCCACATTTTCTCTCATTGGCCAAAAATGAGACCTTCTAAGGAGTGGACAAGTGTTCACAAATCCTCTCCAATGATGGGAGGACATGGTCACTTACAAAACACAATCTTCTCCATTCCTAGAATGTCATGTGGCCACTACTAAAAGCAAATTCTCTCCAATGATGGAGGGACATGTGGCCACTACCAAAATGAAATCATCTCCACTCCTAAGGTGTCATGTGACCACTTCTAAAAAGAATATATTCTCCAATGGAAGCATGACACATGGCACACACTTTCCACATTATTTGACTGTCTAACTTAAGGAAAATCCTATTCTACTTAGACCTTAATACAACCCTTAAACAAACCTACACTACATGGCCGAATACAATGGCCTATATATCCTACACTACTCTTGAATTCATGCTCCATGATGACTCCAAAGAGAAATCTCTCCCTCTTAAAAAGGATTTGCCCTTAAATCTTCAACATGGAACAAGGAAAACTTCTTTATCTTCTTTGGAGTTTTGTATGCTTCTCCACCAGGGTCAAATAGTTATTCTATAACACAAGTTAGACAAAATGTTATAATAGTGAGTAAATGTAGAATATAACTCCCAACAATAATACACTTTATATCAAATGAATGAACAAAATCTTAAAGAGAAAGAACATTTTTGAAACTTTTATCTTTTATTTGTCTTGTTTTGGATATATATATTTTAAAGACTATTCCAACACAAAAGTTAATTTGTAGAGATGTGCCGTATTTGTATTAACTATTTCTTTTGTATATGTTTACTTACCTATTTATAAAAATAAGACTTTTTCCTATAATAAGACATTGAGAAATTAATCTTCATTCTTGCTTTCTGTCAGACCTCATTAAAACGCACCCAAAACCCCTCTGCGCGGACGCCAGGTGTCAATCAACGAGGATTCGAAAATCAGATAGTGGAATGCAGGTGTCAGCAGACGAGCGGACGTTCGTTTTAAACAAAACTGATTTTTCTGAAAACCGCGTCACACTCTCTGCATGCACTCATCTTCTCCAAAAATCCTGATCTTTCAAATTCTCCTCCTTCTCTCTAGAAACTTCCCCTTCTCTCTACCAAAACTCACCATTTCTCTTTTCCGATCACCGTTTAGGCACCGTGGAAGCACTTCCGGCGTCCCAAGCTTCATTTTGAACCGAACAAGTTTCAAGTTTGAACGGGTAAGTGTATCTGTCTTTAGTCGTTCGTCTTCCGCTACATGCAAATCAAGTTCTGGTTGCATGCGGGCATGTAGTCTAAGTTATTTTTGGTTTCATGTTGTTTGGTTTAGTTTGAAGAGTTGTTGATCGTTGAGAGTAGAAAGATTTGTAGTCGGACGAACCAAAACCTACCTTTAGGACGTTCATTCACGTATCAAGGTAAGGGAAGCTTATTTAATTTAATCTGTATGTTTACTGTGTTGTATGAATGTTCATTGATTTGATGACTGGAAATGAAATATGGCTGTGCTATGTTCTGATGCATGAAATATATGAAATCTCTATGTTTGGATGTTATGAAATATGAAAGTGATTATGATATGAATGTGGAAAGTTATGAAGTTATATGTTAAGAAATGAGTTTGAATATATATGAATTTTGAATATGAAATTCCCCTAAGAAAGAGTACGTACGTTACTGAACGGTCCTTAACCGTTCGGTTTTCTAGTGAATTTGGATTTGTAGTGGATTCTTTCATTTGGGAAGAATCCTAGTTGAGGACGAGCGTCTTCACTTCATAATACTGTGCATGAGCGTTCGGCCAAGCACAGTTGGGTATTAACGTTCGGTTATAAATCTAAGTATATATGAAATTGTATATTTTATTGTTCGTAAACACTACTTCAATATTATCGTACTATGTTATCAAGCCTTTTTATGTTAAGTTTATTGGTGCTCGGTCTTACACCAAGCGCTCGTACTGAGTAGTGCTCGGTCTTACACCAGGCACTCGTTCCATTTCCTTAAGCTAATTTTTTTAATACGAGCGTTCGTTTAAGCCCTCTAGGGTTCGCTCTCTATAGTGTTCAGTCTTTGACTGACATTTTGATTTCTTGATACTAAACTCAATTAAACACAAGTGTTCGGTTTCTTCTGGTGAATCACTCTAAGTACCAGTTTTTGAATGCCTTGAAATATCTTTATTCATTGGTTTCACCCTAGAGTCCATATTCTTGGTTTAGTCTTTTAATGTTCTGAGTGAGTTCTCAAGAGTCAGTTCATCTAATTGACTCAAAGTTGAAATTGACGTTCGTCCCATTCGTTCTTGGAATATATTATTGTACTCGTTATCTCTCAATTCGGTATCAACCCTTGATATTAATCTAGTTCAAAATTTGAGATATCTCGTGTTCGCTCCACGTGTTCGATCTTGTTCTCAGTTCAGGTTGAACGTTTGTTATTTTAAAGTTTATTGGAATCTTTGTACGAGATAGTTAACTGAGATATTTATTAATGAAAGATGAAGAAAATGTGATTTGGAAATGTTGTGGAATATGAACGAGCGTTCCAGGGAGGAACGACTCATGTATGAATACTGGATTTGGTAAAGTATGATTGTGGCATGCTAAGCTGGTCGTTCATCCTGATGTTCCGTGAGTACTCGTCTTCACGTAGAGGAGGGTAGGTCATGTGTGGGAACGACAGGAGGTCCTAGTCCTTAGGGGTACTTTGGACAGATAGGGCTAACCTCGGGTGGCATCTGTTGAGTGTATCCCAGTTACTACATCACCCGGGTGCACGAACGCCTGTAGCTACACAGATTTCATACAGTCCGGACGGTCAGTCTAGTGATAGGCTTCGTAGTGATACATGTGTTGAAATGCTCTTGTGTGTTGGATTGTTTAACATATATGTTGATGCATGAATTAAATTACATAAGCTTACCCTGTGTTTTCCTTGTGTTGTCTTGTCTTGTGCGTTCGTCTTGTCGTTGCAATGATCATCCGTGTGGATGTGAGCAGAAGGAGATGCTCTGTTGGAAGAGGCGTTGTAAGAAGAAAACTTGGTCGAAGTGGAAGTAAATGCCGAACCGTAGGATGTTCGGTTAGTAGATAGTAGTTTATTATGAGGTGATCGTTCGGTCACCTCCTCTCTTTTGTTGTTATCTGACCGTTTGGTATTTGGCTTTTATAAACCGTTCGGTCATGTTTTCTCTTATCTTGTACCGTTTAGTTGGAAAGCTTATGTAAGGCCGTTCGGCCGTAAGCGTACGTTGTTTAGTGTAAGACTAAACTGATATATTATTAAATCTAATTAATTCTATTATATGGTTTATTACTGTATTTTTGGGATGTTACACTTTCTTATGCTTTTTTATTTTTTTTCTTCTCTAGCTTTATTTGATAAAATATAATTATTTATAAGAATTATAATTCTTAAAATTTGCAACTTTTATAAATTATGCTGTCCGGATATAATTTTTTTCTCAAGTGCTAAACACCACTTTGTAGTATAGTTGATATAAAAGAGAAACATTCTAGACGAAAACAAACAAACAAATAAAAAAATATATGAAAAATAAAATTGAAGGTTAAGATAATGAAGAAAATGTGAGTAACAAGAAAGTTTGTGTTCAGAACCATAAAGTGTAAGTGTAACCCTGAAGAGAAGCGAATAGCATGTGCAGGTATGATCATGGTACAATAATTGGAGAAAAAGAGAAAAGCTTGAAACAGATGTAATCAGAAGATTCAGCGTATAAATCCCTTTATTTTGGAAAGATGTGTAAAACACAGTGTGTTATTATGTTATATCCCTTTGTTCTTGTCTCCTCCATTCAATTCACCTCATTTCCACCGATGAAGCTCTTAACACGTGTCACGAAAATACCACACAAAACGTGTTGAGTTGCTAATTCTCCATTTCTGATGACTCATGCTGAGCATATTCCTTTCTTCCACCGCGTGTCACACTCTTTTTTCTTCGTTTCTCTTCTCTCTATTCTTTCTTATATAACCTTCTTCCCATCATCGTCCTTTTATTAGGGTATCATCATATACACAGAAAAAAATGCCTAAGAGATTTCCCCATGTTTTCTCCAACAAAAATTTGTTCAAACACCTCCAATCAACTACTCCTATAACTGTTATAGTTAGTAGCAGTGGATTCTGCATCCCAAATGCAGATGCTCAAGTGCATACTCAAGTACAACTAACCCTTATGAGATCATACAGTAGAATATTTTTTCACAGTATTATATAACTATTTTAAATGTTATATATGACTTTTTTTTACCGGTTTACAGTGATCATTTCATAGTATAAAACTGTTGTAGGGTTTATATCATTAGTTTATGGTCGTTAAATTTGATGATGTTTTTGTTTGCCCTTTTGATTTTAAGGGTGGTGACTCAATTGTGGGAGCAGCAGCAGAAGGGGCAGTGAATGCAACAGAGGCGGCGGAGAATGTGGGAGAAAGGGCGAAAGAGACGGTGAATGCAGCAAAGAAGACTGCAGAATGTGTTGCAGAGTCAACCATGGCTGAGGCTGATACCAATGTTGTGGACACTGCTGAATACAGATGCTCTGAGGATTTGGGGGGCCATCTTGGAGATGGCCATGATAGTTATAGTTGAATATGACACTGTAGCTAAGAGTTTATGGAATCATATGTGCTACATTAACCTATGTATTAAATTTTAACCCCTATGGTTTTTGCTCTTTGACTTCTAAGATATTGTAGTAATATATAAAACCTTGAAGAAAACTTGATGTTATATGCTCTTTTTTGTTGGTGTCATATGAGCATAACTAGCTTTCTTTGGAGATAAAAAGCAATTGTATTTTTTTTTTTGGTAAAAGCAATATTATATATTAATGCCACTTGAACCATATTCTGTTCACCACTAAATACGCTTGACTAGACAGTTTTTTCTTTTCTCATATTACGTTATATTACACTACAAATTCTGTGTGACAAATTCTTCTTACCACAATTAAGTTAAGTCGAAATATCAAAAACACTTGCACTAGGAAAAGAAGTTAATCCCATTCATTACAGTTTTAAATATTCATAACTAATAATATTAATAGTTAAAACATTGTTTTATATTTTTTTTATTGTGTATATCAAGTTACAAATATTATATATAATAAGTATATCAATAATGGGATTAATTGCAAAATATTGAAAAAATAATAATAATAAGTATGTAAAGTTATTTTTTGTTTAAAAGTTTGCTTCTTGACTTAAAGTTATCCTAGTTTATCTTAACAAAATTAGTTTATCATACCAATTAGACTTATCATAAGCTTCATGAAAAATACATAATAGGACCTCCTTCAAAAGATGTTAAACAACTCTAAAATAAGAAGTTTATTCCTTTCAACGATGCTAAACAACTCTTAAATAAGAAATTTATATTTATTATGAAAAGAAAATTAAGAATAATTCGAGATAACATAATATCATAAAAATAAAGTAGTTTTCTTTTAAAAGAGTACTTGTCACAAAACACTAGAAGATTTGTTTGAGTTAAAGAAAATTTTGAGAGAAATTTTGAATGAGTGTGATATGTAAGATCACATTGTAAATTGTGTGTTTAGTAAACAATAAATATATTTTAAATAATATTTAATTCTAGTTATAAATGATTATACCAGGTATTCAATTATAGTAAGAAGAAGTGATTGTATTACATAATATTCAATTATAGTTAAAAATATTACCTTCAAAATAATACTCTCACTATGTAGTAAAAATATGACTATACGATATTTTTCGTTATTAAACTATAATTATATTTTTCGTTATTAAACTACAATGGTTGAACCGTAGTATATCAAGACATAGTAAAGAAAAGGAAGATTATAGACTACAATTAAAAATTGTAACCTATACTCAACTATAGGTTATAGTTCTTGAAAACCGAAGCTTATAACTTTTCGGGACAAAAAAATTAACAAAAAATGCATGTATAGGCTACACTTTTGGGTAGAACCGTAGTTTATACTCTTACTTTAAAAATTATTTGAAAATTAGAAAAAAGGGAATAGGTGGTTTTGGAGATAATTGTAGCCTAAAAGCTTTGAAAAAAAAAAGAATAAGTATAGGCTATGATTTTGGTCTATAATTGACTTTAGACTACGGTTTTGGTTGGAACTGTAGGTCTATAGTAATTTTTTTTAAATATTTTTTTTTGTTTTTATTCCTATCCATAATTTGAAAACCTCAAAAACAATTACACAAATATATTCAAAATAGCCAAATCTCATAACAGAATACATGACAATTCTATATTAAAGTAAGTATTTAATGTACAAAAGAATCTACTAAATGCACAAAGTATAAATTGCATACAAAATAGACTAGCTATTTGAATTATTGTACACTTCAATTATATACTTGGCACATATTTTCCTATTGAATCTGAAATCAATGGTTAGGGATTGTTGAAATTCTAAAAAAAACAATAATTTCAATTAGTACATAAAAGAAAAAATTTTAAAATACTTTGAAGTAAGTAAATTATTACTTATTTCCAACATGTTTGAATACTAGCACAAATAATGGTTATCATTCATTGTATAATATAATACTTACACTCATTCGAGTTGGGTTCTCTATTACACTACAAATATATCAACAAAATTATAAGTAATTGAAAAAGAAAAAAAAAAGCAATTACAATTAGACCAAACTCCTAACCTTGAGTGACATTTATGCCAGCCTCTTTATTGGTTTGCATGTGATCATGTTATGTGTAATGAATGCACTGTGAAAAAAGACATTAGTTATGACACACTTATGTAAAAAGAAAATTTCATAAGTTCTTATCAATCTACTACTTGTTTGATATGTATGGTGGGAGGTTTATGCTATGCAATAAAAAGAATCATATAGCACTCTCATCAATTAAGGAAATCACAAATAGCGTCAACACGGCTAAATTGAAAATATAATCATTGTTAAACTTGAAAATATTGGATTATAATTATAATACAACAAATTATACTTACTCATTAATATAAAGGGTGAAATATATTTGCTTCTTTTTCCCTAAAGAATTGGTGATGTATCCTTGGAGTTCATCCACCTTATTATTCACAGTCAATCGTACATCTTGACCAATAATTTTTGGAGAGACAAAATAATGCATTTAAAATTTATATATTTTATTATTATCACTAATACAATAAAAATGAGTACATAATTTAGTATAACTATAAAAGAAATCATATATATATATATATATATATAAAAAGGATTGTCCTTAGTTCTTTCAAATTCTTTAAATTCTTTCAAATTCATTAATAATTGAATTAAAAGTAAAACTTTCAACTTTTTTTTTCAATGTAAATAACCACATTGTTGGCAAGAAATTTTATCTTTCATTTTATTCCGCGATATTTTTTGATAATTTTCATTGCAAAAAAATTGTCTTTCTGTTTTAACTGCAGAAACATGAAGAGTTAAAATAAGACGAATTAAATTATCAATCAAGTCAAATAAGCTCTTCTAGTTTCATCTCATTGGATATTTTTATATTTGAAGACATTTTTCGGAATCACGTTTCAAAGAATTAATATGAAACTCTACAATTGTAAACCTAGAAAGACTCATTTAATTGAATCATTGGATCATTAGTAATTTTTCTTCAAAATATATGAAGAAATTGAATTTGTGTTGTTTTTCTTTTTTCACTTTTAAAAAATGAATATACTATTTTATTCTTCATCAATATACATATTTTAAAAAAAAACAAAATTCAAGACGAAAAGATAATTATCATAACTAATAAAAAAAATGGATAGAGGTGATTACTAAAAGAATCCATGATAATCAAGTCAAATTAAAAATTAGTTATAAAAAAACACATAATACATAAGTTTTCTTTCTATATTCATAATAAAAAAGTATAAAAAAAAACTCATGTGATAAAAAATAGAAGAAAACATAGGAGAAATAAGAGTACAAATAATTAGTTTGTGTTTGACTTATTTTTTTCTCTAAAAACAAAACAAAACATGAGAGTGGGATATAATAATGAGACAGAAAAAAATATATCTGTAAATAATTATAATATTTCATTCTTAGTCTCTGCCAGTTTTAAGACATCTTACATGTATAAATACAGTGAAATTAAGTTCATCCCATGAAACCATCATCAGATCATCATGTATGAATTTGACAAGTCCTTGAAATGAACGGATACGATCATCCATACTCCTTCCCAAATTCTTAAAATTAATTGAGATTAGGAAAATTTGGGGTATTTAAATTGATGTTTCTTTTAATTATTTACTAGTTTTGAAGTTTTTAAACAATAAAATAATTTATACATTTATTTATCAAAACGGTGAAAAGTATAAACTTTTACTATCTTAATAAATAATTTTATTTTTTGTTTTCTATTTGTATAAAACAAATAAAAACTCAATATAAATTTTACAGAATAAAAACAGATCTTGATTTTTACAAAGCTTTTCTTACATTAGTATGGAAAATTAATAAAGCAACTACCATCTCATCTTCTTATAAAACTTGAATTATCATTACACACGCGGGGGCGCGCGCGCATGCAATATCTCATCTCTCGCGCGTTCTTTATATCTCGTATTATCCTATATTTATATTTTTTTTTTTTTTTTTTTTTTTTTGAGGTTTTATATTTAGATGATTTAAACATTATATATGTACGATACACTACTAGCACCAATACAAAAAAAAAAAAGTAGCAGTTCGCATTAGCCAATTCAGTACGGACATTATTTATTTGGGTCCAATCTTAATAAATGTGTGAGTATGTTTTATCATATTTATGAATTTTATTTTGTAAATAATGCTTCTCAAATAATCATTTCATAATTTATAAATATAATTTACCTTTCTATGCTTATCTATATATACATGTTTATATGTTAATTTCTTAGTATATTCACCAAAATAACATATCAAAACAAGTTAATAGCTATACTATAGAATTATCACTCATCCTTACGATGCCTTTGTTTCGAAAGGAAACATAAGAAATGGAACAAAGTGAAAAAAATAATTAGAAAATGAAACGTTAAATCACCAAAAGAAAGATAGTCTAATTTTCTATAATTTATAAAGAAAGTTGACTTTTAAAAATAATTTTATTTCATTTTGCTTATTATTTCAATTTAAGGAGTCGAAATTAAGTCTACTTCTTACCTTGGTCTCCAAACTCCAAGCTCGGGTCAAGGCTCTTCCTCCATTTCATGCTAGTTATCGTTCGATCGAATTGGTGTGTTACCTGTAGAAGACATTCCGATGTTAAATTCAGTGAATGTTTGATAGTGTTAGCAATAAATGTGCAATTAATGTAATCAACTACTTGAATACCACAAACCTATATTTACAAATTTTGGGATGGGCTTCTTATTAGCGTTGACCTAGTTACGGCCCAAATGGTAATAGTCTATCTTATGATTAATATAATTATCCTTAATGTTAAATCTGCTTTTAATCTAACCACTCAGTTTTTCGATCAGCTGGTATTGGAATGTAGATTGGTCGACTGTCTAGTTCCTTGGCTTACCAAACGGTCATACTATATACAGGCCCCCCAAACCCAAACATATGTCTTCTAATCGTGAGATGCGAATGGTTTCTGTGAGACAAGGATTTAACTATACGTTTCGTAGGGGAATGGGGTTTTGTACAACCGCTCACCCAGGAGCAATAATCTACGTGGGCAAATACCATTGAAGTTATAAGAAAATGTAGTCGATGCGAGTGGAACACGTGATC